AAGCCAAGCCTGCATAGTGTTCCACACAAATGGCCAGATTTACTGCATATGATGGAGAACTACACTCCATCTCTGAAGGTGACCAAAGTGTTGTGGGAACTTCCTTAAAAAAGGTGGATCAAAGTCAATATGGATGGGGCATCAAGAGGTAACCCAGGCAGGAGCTCGATTGGTTTTGTGCTAAGGGATGAAGAAGGAGATATTAGGTTTGCAATGGGAAAGGAGATATAGGAGGTTACCAATGAAGCTGAAACAATTTCTATTCTGGAAGCCTTGAAATACTGTATACAATAAGGCTACACGCAAATATGGATGCAAACTGATTCAATGCTGCTAAAAAATAGTGTTGAAGGCACTTTGATTGCACCATGGATAGTGGTTGCACATGTGGAGGAAATAATGGGCATCATGGAGAGATATAATGTCGGAATCACACAAATCATGAGAGAGGGTAATTGTTGCGGAAGCCAAATGTATAGAGTGTGAATAAGTCACAACTACTATACCAAAAATTATGACAACCACCAAATAATAAATAAGACAATAAAGCAATAATAAAGGGAACACCAGAATTTACGAGGTTCGGCTAATTTTGCCTACTCCTCGGACACAACCAATATTTTATTCCACTCCAAAAATACAAGTGAAATAATACTAAAGAGAGAAGATACAAATGCCTTAAACAGATGAGAAGGCAAATGAGAGGTGTGTTTCAATCCTAAACATTAGGCCTTCTTTTATAGGGGAAAAATCCCTTCCAAACTTAACTCCCAACCAATGTGGGACTTTGGCATTTTGCCAAACTTCAACAGTAATAAACTAGCTGACTACCTAGCTAACTATGCCCTCGATAATGGTTATATTGAAGTGCATGAATTTGATTAATTGGAGAGACAAGGTAAATGGATTGTGAATAGTGATAACTACAATTTCCATACCTAAGAGTAAGAGTTGCTAAGAGTTAGGAGGTGAGGAGGAAAGGAGTAGTAGGGGCATGGAGAAGGCTAAATTCATTGTTTTGGGTCATCATGTTCAAGTCCTTATGGAGGAGAGCATGGTGATCATTCTTTTTATTAACTTTATGTCTGTTTTGCAGGAGATGCTACTGTAGACATGCCTTACCATTTAACACGAATTCAATGGATGGTATTAGCACTTTGTGCTCATTCCCTTGAAAAAGTGTTAATGGTAAGCGCAAGCATGGAATCAATATTCCAAAGGATGATACTAGGTATTTGCAGTGTTGTTGTCACATGCAGCACGCAATTGCTGATGGTCCAATATCGTAGTATAGTGCAAATCAAGAAACAAACTACAAGCAGATATGGAATGGCAACGATGTCACAGGGCCTGAAACGCAGGAGCTGCCGACTGTCCAGAATTTTGGTTAAGGAATCTATGTGAGGTACGTTAATTTGGAGCACAAAAATGGTTATAATGAATGCATTGCTCAAGAGCCCAATGTAGTTCGTTAATACAACATCCCTGCATTGGTTTCAAGCAAAGGTCTTATTGGATAGCAGCGGGAGGTCACACGATTCTTGGTGTAATAAGTTCATGCGCATTTTGCTCCAAATGGATATGCATATGGACTGGGCAATTTTTTTGACTATGCAGGCATTAAGTCATATAACATACATCATGATCAAATATTTTTTTCCTTAAGGTTAGGCTGTGGATAGGTACAAATTCACAAGAAGAAGAGATTCACAAGAGTACTGGGATGCCCTTTGTTTGGACAGGGTTATGTGCAACCTGTGAACCACAGTTTTGGCAACCCAGGTTCACAATGGCAAAACTACTGCCTAGTAGTATGGAAAGGAGTATAGCAGTGTCGTTCAAAAGGAAGAAACAGCTTTGGAAGCTTTGGGCTCTCACAATATTTGCATCCATGTGGCTCGTTTTTCTGCAAGTTCTCTACTACTTAGATAGCTCGTCTTTATACTCATTTCTTAGTTCAACATGTAATACTAATTTTGGGTACTACTTGCTCAAAGTTGGTACTTGGAGCTATGTACTTATCATGTCATATTGTCTTATACTTTGTAAGACCTCATGTTACTTTGTATTTATTTTGAGTATTATATATAAAAACTAGCCCTAGGCACAATGTCTAGTGGATTTTGCTATAAAAAAAAAAGAGTTTAATTATATCCGAGCTTGACCTTTGAATTGAGTCGAGCAGAATACATTTCGAGCCTGGCCTAGCTTTATATGAGATTGAATCGCAATTATTTTACGGGGCACCATATTTGGTTAAGCCCATTTACCTTTAGCCATTTTTTAAAAGTTTAATTGATACTCAATTTTTTGGTAACTTAAATACGCTTTTCTCTTCTTTTTCTTCTCTGTTGTTATCTTCTTTTTTGTATTATGTCTCATGTATCCGGGAGCTTTGCTACTGCTTTCATCTTCTCTGTCTTCCTTTTCCAAGTATCTAGGAGCCGTTTGGTTTATTCTTCTTCTTCTTAGTTGCAAAACATTATTGTAGGTTGTGCTTAGTATTTTTTCTTTTTCTTCTTCTTAGTTTTTAAATGAGTTTGTTAGATTTGTTGTTGTTTTGATAATTTGATGATTGACGTTTGTTCTTTATGATATTTGAAAGTGATGTTTCAAATTTGAGCTCATTTGGAGTTGATTTTGGTGTTGAATCGTGTGTTGGATTGTTGAATTCGAAGAACAAGTTTCAGAACTTAAGATTCGATTTCTGAAGTTATATTGAAGTGATAGAACTACTTAAGATCCGAATTTTCTGAAATTGCATTGGAAATATATAAGAATTTAAGATCTGATTTCTGAAGTTGCATTGAAGAGATAGAACTAATTAAGATTCAATTTTTTTGAAGTTGCATTGGAAAGATAGAAGAACTTCAAATCCGATTCTGATATTGCATTGAATATATAAAACTACTTTAGATTTGATTTTGTGAAGTAACATTGGAAAGATAGAAGAAATTCAGATCTAATTCTAAAGTTGCATTAAAGAAATAGAAGAAATTCTTATGTATAATACAGGTATAACATCAATGATGGTCCAAAAGTGAATATCTGCGAAAATGCTCCTATTGAATAGAACCGAGGCCATTGAACTGCACAATAATTCTAACTGAGCCCGAGTCAACTCTTCTATATTTGTTATAAGGGTGTCAATGATTCGGTTCGATCAGTTATTTTATAAAATTTATACCATATTAATTTTTCGGTTATTCTATTATGTATAACCAAAATTAGACTTTTCGAAATCGTCCCAATCATGTCGGATTATCTTCGGTATCGGTACGGTTCGGTTAATTTTCGGTCTCTTTTTTAAATGTCATATAAAAGTCACTAGTAGAAGTAGAATGCAATAATATATGTATTTTTATAGGGCTTAGCAAAATTTTCTCGACATTTTTACTATTTAAAGGGTTATATATTAAGAAAACATGAAAGATGGCCAGAATATAGATCCATCAATCATTCTACAGCAGCGTAAAAGAAACTAAACAAAGACAAAAAAAAAATATAAATCACACGAGTAGAAGATATTAACCAAGTTGGGACCAAAAAATAAAGTCTATAGAAGATTAAATATTCAAAAAGATAAATCCAAATCATAAGAAAGGTAATATATTCAATACATTATAGTTTGTTACTCGTAACGCTAGAATACCTTGTGTTTGCTAGTGAATATGTTGAAAATAATTTAATTTTAACAGGAGTAGCATAATAGATTGGGAATTAGGATTTTGAGCTTAATTACTTGTTGGCTTGTAACCGTTTTCATAATGCCAAGGTCCAAGGAAAAATTTAATGCATTATTATTTTTAAACTTAATATATAAATATATTGTTCACATGTAAATTAATTTGGTAAGGTTCGGTATTTTTTCGGTTTATTTTCGTAAAATAAAAAATCTAACCTAATTGTAGGTACGGTTATAGTTTTATATAAAAATATACGGTTTTATTAAAAGAAACCTAAAAATCGGTTCGGTACGGTACGGTTCGATCGGTTTAATCGGTTTTTAAATATCCATTGACACCCTTAATTTGTTATACAGAAGTGCAAAAAGTATAATTTTATTGTTTAAGCATCTAAATAGAAAAACGTCATCATCACTAAAACAAAAACTGTATATGTTGAATTTTAATTATTGATACCATTTTAGCATATCCAATCTTTCAAAACCAACACTTTTAAATATAATGAACAAGATACTGTAATAGAGAATTGAGTAAAATGTGATTGAATTACGTGAATAATTACTTTAAATTATAAATTAAATTCTAATTCACTTAAATTAAATGTAGAACACTAAATAGAGCTTTTTGATCAAATAAATAAATAAATAATATAATAAGAATTAAGAAATATTGTACTGAATTGAACATCAATAATAATTTGAAATTCTTAAATAAATTTTAGCTGCAATTTAGTTCATCCATTAAGTAGGCTTAAGTTATGCAATGATTGAAATTTACTTACATCAAATCAAGAAGTACGAAAATAAAGTGTATAGTAATTATTAAATAAATATATTAACAATAAGAAATGAACTTAATTTTAAAACAAATATTACATGATTAATAGAGTCAATTGAGCCGAGCCATTTCGACCAACCTGATCTTAATGGAGCTTTGAACGAAGCAAAGTCAAGCCGAGATGAGAGGTGATTGTAATACTTAAGGAAAGGGTCATCAAAGTAATGCTTACTAGTTTATAGCAGAGTTCCATACGCATAAATTGGAGCTGTTAATATGGCAAGGACTCGAGATTTCTGAAACTGCCAAAAGGGTTCTCTAGACACAGTTTATTGTACCAAGTCTAGTCTCCTCCTCTTCGGACGTTACGAGGTGTTACACCTAAGTAACTGTCTCTTTCCTTCTATATAGTGCTTTTTAAAAGGCAACCTTAAAATTGCTTTTTATGTTAGGGGCAAGAAAAAGCCATAAAACCTAGAGATACATTTTTTGAGTTATCATTATTATGATGAAACAGAACAGCATACATCTGTCAGTGAAAACCAACCAAAAGTTGTGCTTTTAGTATTTAGCTTTGATAAATAATCTCGCAATACGAAAAAGGACAAAATCTTTAAACTAACTACTACAATACAAAAGTTCCCTTAGCTACTGAAAAAAGGGGATTTTTTTCAAGGCAATTGTGGCATCAGTGTTTGAATTGGAAGATTGTGAATCTTGGAAGAAGAAGAAGATGATGATGATGATGAACAGCAGGGATGAATCTGATAATGCAAGCACAGCAACATCATCGTCTCTTACATCCCCAAAACTGCCAGTTTACTATGTACAGAGCCCATCACGAGATTCCCACGATGATGTTGATAAGTCATCATCCTCCATGCAAAATACTCCTGCTTATCACAGCCCCATTGATTCCCCTTCTTATTCATCTAGGGACTCTTCCTCTAGCCGCCTTTCCGGGAATTGGCGATGGGCCAGGGGTTACAATCGGAGAAGAAGTGGGAAAGGCTGGCAAGAATGTGCTGTCATTGAAGAGGATCTTGATTATGATCATATCAATCAAGCCTATTCAAGACGCTGCCTGTTTTTGATTGCTCTCATGGCTTTTGGAGCTTTTTTTGCTTTCTTTTGCTTCATTTTGTGGGGAGCCAGTAGACCTTACCAACCTCACATCACTATGAAGGTATTCATTAATTGAAATCGGAATCTGTTTATTGTCTAGAACTTGTTCTTATCACTATTATTAATATTGGGGAAACTAAATTATTCCAACCAAAAAAAAAATGTAAGACGAAGCAGATTATAACCATCATATAATATGTATAGTAGTAGTGATGTTTTTGAAATAGATTATACAGATTTGTGACTTGTGAATTATAAGTTGCTCCTGCACAATCCTATATTTTAGTTCTCAATATTCCCTTTGATGGTCACAAAAGCTGTGGAACTTGATTTTTAAGAACCTTGTGCACGATATAAGCTGATTTCCTCAAACTGGCAGCATAATGTCCTAGTTTAGCATGTTTAATCCTTCAAAGACCATAATCATGCTTAGATCTTTCCTTGATATTTTAAGGACTGAATTTCTCTCAGAAATTCTTGATCATTTCATTTCGAGGTTGCATTATGTTGATACTTAATGGATGAAAATCTGGTGATTGCTCTAAAAACTTTCAATTTTAGTATAATCTTTGAATAACTTTTATTCATGTAAAGTGGATTTTCTGCTAGGCCTTCAGGGTACATAACTTCTATTTTGGGCAAGGGTCAGACCGCACAGGTGTTCCAACCAAGTTGCTTACAGTTAACTGTTCTGTGACCATGGCCATACATAACCCTGCTACGTTTTTTGGAATTCATGTCAGCTCCAACCCTGTCAATCTTTTCTTTTCAGAAATCACAGTGGCAACTGGCCAGGTGAGCGATATCTTTGATGAAGTCAATTATAATCTCAAGAATTTTAAAACTGCCAGATAAACCTGCATTATCCCTGAAGAAGGGCAGCCTAGCGCACTAAGCTCCCGCTATGCGCGAGGTTCGGGGGAGGGCCGGACCACAATGATAAATTGTACGCAGTCTTACCCTGCATTTCTGCAAGAGGCTGTTTCCATGGCTCGAACCCGTGAGCTCCTGGTCACATGGAAGTAACTTTACCAGTTACGCCAAGGCTCCCCCTCTCATTATCCATGAAGAAATATTATATTATTTAGAGGATCAAACCTCGACATAATGGATGACAGTGAAAAAAATATCAATCATATGTTACCCGATTTTTGGTTTTGTATAGTGCCAGTGTCATGTTCTTTAAGCAACATTTTGCCAGTATTTTCCTTTACCTGATGGTCTCTCCTGATTTACAACGTATGGATGCAGTTGGACGAATATTATCAACCAAAAAAGAGCCAGCGCAGTATGTCTATGAACCTGGATGGATGTAGAGTTCCCCTATATGGAGCTGGGATAGCCTTGGTAAAATCAGACGGCAGTGAGGGGGTTCCATTGAAATTAGACTTTGAAATCCTGTCAAAAGGTTATTTAGTTGGCAAGCTGGTGAAGACAAAGCATCGGAAACACATCTCTTGTTCCTTGCTCATCAGCTCAAGAAGCACAAAGGAAATAAAATTCAAGCAGGATTCCTGTGCATTTGATTGAGGTTGCAACATCCAGTCCATTCTCCAAGATATAATTACCAAGGCTATCATTATAGTCTAAAGTTGCTAGATAATGCGTAATAGGACAATGTTGGTTCTTTTCTTCTGATATTTAAAGTTCTCTATCCTTGTCAATTGTTTCAGAATAATTTTCTAAAGCTTGAAGCAAGAGGATATGGGTCCAGACCCCACTTGTGGGATTACATTGGGTTGTTGTTGTTGTTGTTGTTGAAGCAAGAGGATATGGGTAAATTGGTACAGAGGCCTTCCTAAGGTGCAGGAACTCTGAAAAGTTGTTGAGCATCGTGACAAGCTGCTCCGCAGCAGTTGTACCACAATATCCTCCTAGGTACCTGTTTGGTTTCTGGGAAGGAAAAACAATCTGCTGAAAAGTTAATTTAAACCCTATGGGTTCAATTTTTAAAGCTTTTAGCATTGAACCCACAAGTTCTCTCCTGTTTTGAGTCCAGAAAACACGGCATCATGACTCTTCGGAGCTTCTATCACATATACTGCTAAAAGCGATTCTAATGATTTCATATGCATGTTTGGTCACTCAGAAGATTAAGTTTGTTCTATCTTATGGCTCACCCGCCAGAACAAATTACAACTTTGAATCAATTCATTAGGGTGTGCCGTAGCATGACCAACATCCTGGTCGCTTCAACAAAACTGCCTTTGATCACTTACTTTTGCTGTGTGTTTTCTATGACAAAGTTTGATTATTGTTTATGGCCAATAAAGCAACATGAATCTTGGATCATATGCAGATCTAGGATTTGGAGATTCTGGGTGCCCCACTACTTTGAACAGGGGCATGGCGTATGTAGGATTTTGCTGCTGAGTGTTGTTAATATCACATAAGAGAATTAATAAATGATATTTATCATCAATTATTTAGACAGGGAGAGCCATTGTTTGATGGTTTAGTTGAGTCTTAAGCTAGAAGAGTTCTAGAGTTTAATTATAATCCACAAATTTTGAACATCAGAGGCTCCGTTAATTATATTTGCTTAGACTATATGTCCTAAGGCTGTATTGTGGTCCAGTTCCGGGCCTAAATGGGCTGGGGCCAAGCGGTCCCGGGCAAAATGGGTCGGCCCCACGGGCCTAAGTGTTCCGGACTATTTTTTTTTATCTAAGGCAATTTCTTGTAAATTATATTATATAATTGTGACTTAAATATTCTAATTCAAATTTAAACGCAAAAAAATTATAAAGAAATATTCAAGGGAATGCCTTATAATTTTTATTATTACGACATTAACAAAAAATGACAATATCTTTCTTAGTCTTCCTCCCTCTAATGGAATGAGCACAACAAGGTGCTAATAACACCATTAAAAGGGAAAAAAAAACTAATGAAGATGTGCCAAAATACAAGTTACATATTAGTCTACATATTATCTTTAACAAATTTCATAAATCTTTCAAGGTTCGGAGGAATTTCCGTTGGTGGTGGCGGAAAAGAAGCTTGTTCATCACCGCTTCCGGGCGAAGCAGCATCCTCCGCAAGTTCCGCTAGCATTTTTTCATAATCTTCGTCTATCTTCGGTTGTGATTCAGCAAGTCCAAAATTTCTTCTTTCTGAACGGATCCAATCTCTGAAGAGTACTGATTTTTCTAAGCTCTCCCTCATAGACGCTCTATGATCACCGATTTGAAGTCTCGCTTGACTGAAAGCGCTCTCCGATGCCACTGTTGAATCTTGAATACTTAAAATATCTCGAGCCATCCTTGAAAGAACCAGATAGTGATTTTCTTTGTCCTTCCACCATTCCAAAACATCAAAGGAGCCGTCGGGATTCTCCGATTCAAGTCCCTGCGACAAATAAACTCGAAGCTCATTTAGTTGTGAACTATCACCAATATTATCACCTTGAGAACCCCTGAACTCTGTCCCAGAACTAAGTGTTTTTAGGCCCGCAGTTCTTTTAAATGATTGCGAACTAGACGAAGTAGGAGTTGGAACATTTGGTCTAGCATGATCTAAGGCAAGTTGATAAACATTATAAATTGTTTTAGCATTTATTTTAATTGAGGCTTTTGCATCTGCAAGTGTAACAAATTCCTCGTCTGAAAGTGATAAAGCCTTATAAATATTTGTATACCAAAAGTGAGGACCTCCTAATTTCATGGTAGGATTTAACATGGCAGCAAACCAAAAATAGGGGGGATAGGGAAAAAATATTTTTTAAACTTATCTTTCATAGAAGTAATAGCAAGTTGATAAATTACCCCACCCTCTGAAAATTGAGTAAACAAATCTGCAAGTGCTGCAATATAAACTAAACAGTTAGAAATAGTAGGATAATATTGCCCAGATAATTCATTTGTAGCAACATGAAATTGTTCTAAAAAGTCTACAAGAATTTTAACATTAGTCCAATCCTGATTTGTAAGGTGCTCATCATCATCATCATCATCATCACCACCAACACGAGCATTAAACATTGCGTTTATTGGGTTTCTATATTCATATGCAACAACTAAACTTTCATACATGTAATTCCATCTAGTCGGACAAGGTTTAGGAACCTTTCTTTCTCTAAGGACAAATTCATCACATTTTTTAAAATATTCTCTAAGTCTACTTCTACGGTTTGAATAAAAAAACCAATTAAGAGCCATTTTAACCTTTTAAATTTCTACATTTAATATTTTCATACCATCACCGACGATTAAATGTTAAATATGACAAATACATCTAACATGGAAAAATATTTCTAAATATAGGATTTAGTGTAGTTGTAAGCAAGCCTATAGCATTAGTGTTACTAGAAGCATTATCCATTGAAACTGACATTATTTTATCTCTAATGCAAAAATATCTACAAATAACTGCAACTGTGTTAGCAATAAACTTACCTGTGTGACGAGAATTAATTATTCTATAAGCAATAATGCGTTTTTGCATTTTCCATTCCTCATCAATCCAATAAGTGGTAACAGTTAGATAATCACAGTCATTACTACTTCTACCAATATCAGTAGTAATAGCAACGCGACAATTTATATGATTTAATAAATAGCGCAAATATTGTTCATATTCATGTTTATATTTATAAATATCGCTCTTTACGGTTGCGCGAGGCCATCCTTTATATGTGGGATTAAAAACTCTTCTAATATAATGCACAAAGTGAGGGTTAGAAGGAAAACTATAGGGTAAGGACATAACAGTAACCATTTTTGCCAATTCTTCACGATCTTTATTTGGATCGTAATATAAAATGTCACCGGTAATAGTGTTAATTCCCGGTTAAACTAGATTTGACCTGGTACTAGGGTTAACCTGAATACCTACACTTATTCCCTCTTGCGCAACTTTCATTTGAAGAAATCTAGCTTTATCTTTAGGGTGTATCTTTATGTGTCTAGTCAAAGTACTCATACCGCTACGGTCTCCAGTAAATTTATGAGCCATCAAAGTCCCACAAGTTTTACAGTTAACCTTATTTTGATCTCTTAGTTGAATAAAAAAGTGCCAAACAAGAGATGTTTCGCACCATCTAGAAGGTTGTCTATTAAAAGTAGGGGTTACTACAGTAGGGTCAGGCGGGGCATCATTTGGATTATTATCAGTTGGGTTAACAACCGTACTAGTAGGTGTATCATCTAAATCCGGTTACATTTCATTTTCCTCATCATTTTCATCGAGAGTTGGATTACCCTAAAGAGTATTCATGTATTCATCATTTAGAATTTTTTTTTCTTTTGAAAATAGTCGTTGGGCCCGGTTGAACCGGCCCAGGCCCGCCAAACGGTCTTGGGCTCGCGATCTCTCCATGATGGACCGGCCCACAGTGGGCTCCTGGACCGCTTGGGACCGGATCATACGGGCCAGCCCGTTTAGCCCAAAGCCCATGTGGGCTCGCGGTCCTGGGCCGGCCCCGGGCTGGTCCCGGACCACAATACAACCTTAATATGTCCTTAACATCTGAAACTCAAGTTGTATAGAATTAAAATGCACACAGTAGCAGAATCCCCTCTCGTAACCATATGAAGTAAACAAGTTTATCTAAACAATTTTGCATCACAAAACTAATAAGACATGCCATCATCCCCTGCCTTTTCCCAACTCCCAATTCATACTTACCTCATTCCCACTAGGATTGTATGACTGCTATGAATATGATCTACTGAGCATTCAGAATTTGTCAGTCCACAGAGAACTATATGTACAAAGATTTATGCTGTTCTTGATTCTTGAGACATATTCGTGTTGAATGCACTTTGAATATGTCAATACAATAAGACCTCGGACTGTGCCAATTATGCTATCCACAAAAATTGCCTTACAAATGATTAATTTTATAATTAAACATATGGTTGCCTCCAAATTATAGAGTGAGTTTAAGCAAAGGCAAGGGGAGAGAAGAGGAAACTATGGCTTCAGTTGTAAAGCTAAATTAGTCACTGAGGTGCTAAACTAGTTCCCTGCTCGTCGATAGCACAACCTTCTGGGGAAACTGTTCCACCCACTCTCGTTGGAGGCCAATATCGGAATATGGATCTGCCAATTATGTTCTTTGCCGGGAGGGGACCCCTAATTAAACAATTTCATACTTTTGATATAAGCATAGTTATAGATATGGCAATTCACAAGATACCTTCGGTTTCAAGACCGAGTAAACTTACCACACATGTGAATCATAGCTGTTATTCCTATTATCACCCATCACAAAAACTGAATTCTCAGGTACCCTCTGCAGAACACAATAGAAACTGTAAGAAGAGGAGATATTTTCTGACACACTATGTGGAGATAAAGTACAGTTTGATCGCAACCATGACTGCTGACTTGCTTAAAGAGTCATGGCTGTGGACGAGCCAATACTTACAATTATTCAACACTTGCTTAAGTTTCCATTGTTAAGAAAGAATATAGGGAAGCTGAATGCCGAATTAGCCGAGTTAAATAAAAACAATGTAACATACCACTGGGGTCATTTCATATTTTGGCGCCTCAAGAACAAAATCTTCATTCCTCACAACACCATTTACAATTAGCTTTCCATTGTGAACCTGCACTAGAAAGAATAATCCAAAATACTACATTTATGTTGCCAGGAATTGGTTCATATAAATGCAAATGTGAACCAAACAGGAACATGCGTTTTGCAAATGACCTCAGTTGCACTATTGGAGATCATATTGGTAATTACTGCAGTATATGAAAATATAATAGGAATTAATCTATCGTTGGGGAAAGAAGAGATAATGTAGTATAAAGAAATGCTAATAAGAGTGGACCTGACATTGAAAAATAATAGAACCATAATTACTAGTTGTTGTTCTGGTAAATAGAATATGTAATAATTGTCATGTGCATGAAGAGAAACAGCTAGGCAAGTTTGAATCAATACCATTAGTCCTCTCCATTTTTTCCTCTGAGAATTCAAATAATGCAAATCTACGAATATGATTTGAAAAATCGCAGTCCACTGGCGTTCTTTGTTGAATCAAAAAGAGAAAGAAAAACCTTTCCCCCAACCTTCGTAGAGCAAGACTTGGATAATACAAAAGTCTGGTGAGGTTTAAATAGAAAAATCCTTTCTCCGTCCATGTAAAACTGAGTCTCTTATTTTCACTCGGCATAATGATAAAGAGAGGATGGAAATTAATAATCAGATGATTAAACCTGTAAAACTTGAGTTGTTTCTTGTTGCGTAAGGAAAGGGTAAAGTTAGTATTGGACAGTTTAAAAGGGGTTCCCTGTTACCTTTTTCATACAGGATTAAATGCATGTTTTCTTTTCTGGGAAAGTAGGCACTACTTTGGGGTAGATGACAAGCAAAGGTGTAATTCAAAAGGTGATGCAGGGAGTAATATAGATGCCAAAAGAGAGCATAACCGAGACCAGCAACTGACTAGATAAACTTTGTTGTCGCTTAAAACCAGTAAGCCAACTTTGTTAGACAAATTTGACCATGCATTCTCCTGCAAGAGAGGATACTGGAAAAACATCTCAATGTTACAAAGTAAAGTAGCTATCAACAATGTGTTATTGGTTGCAAGTTACCGTGACGGCACAAATTAAACATCAAGATATTCTGGAGGCAATGGCACTTAGGTATTACCATCACATGAATAGAAACAGAGAAAGACCTCCACTTTCCAAACACAAGATACAGGGGATTATGACAAAAAATACCAACCCTAAATTTCATGACTGGTCTGGCTGTTGAAGAGGGTAGAATTGGATTTCGAAAGAAAAGAGAAGTGCAAAGATGTCTGAACTACTTAATATTTACATTCTTGAAGCAGTATAAAATAAGTGAGAAGTTTTCACATTTTCGCACGACACTCAAATATGAGGTAGATCTGCCCCAGGTTTGCTGTCGACCTTATAATTTGCTCTGTCACTGTCATTTAGGGGAAAAAACTCAGTATAGGACAACTGGCGGAGGCTATGAAATACCATCACTTTATCTTCTAAGCAAGAAGGCAAATTCACCTATGAAGTAGTATAACAGTTTTGTATGTTGTGACCTCACCTCCACAAGATCACCTTCCTTAGCAACAATCCGCTTAATAAAGACATCTTCATCAGTGTATCCTACTTCCTGAAGCACTGGAGGACTCTTGAAAATAACTATGTCGTTGGGACAGGGCTTTCTGAAATAGTAAGTGACCTGTAAATAATAAGATTGCAATAGTTTGTGAAGGAAATGGCTTTGAATCTGCACGGACTAGTCATATACTAAATGCACAATAAAATAGAGGGCAAGTTTGATGGGAATAAACGGCGACCTTTGCGGAATCTTAGAACACCACTGATACCCTTAGATCAATTGTATTGATACGATTGCGCATACAAATGGAACTAAAAAAAATATGGTTTAAGAGAAGAATCAAGATAGAATTTGCTCTTAAGATGTAGTGTTTACAAACAAGTTTAGCAACACTAACCTAGTCTAAAGTAAGGTGGTGCATGCAGAGGCAGAGCCAGAAGTTCAATCTTATGGGTTCTGGATTTTAGAACAGCGACTTCAAGTGTTAATTGACTGGGTTCTAAATTTAATATGTGTTCATACTTAATGAATTCTAAACACCAAATAAACTATTTGAGCAAAAAGCTATTGAGTTTGCCCGAACTTGTAACTCGGCTTGTGCCTCCGCCCCTCTGTGCATGTCTATTTAAAACATAGAAAGCTATTTGGTGTTGTGCTCCACGGAATTCATGAAGACAAAAAAAAGATCATTATGCTATAACAAAAGAGACAAGCATAAATCAGAATAACATTCCTTAAATCAGCTTTTAGAACCACAACCCTTGATACATTCAATTTTAGATTCAACACTTAGGCTCTTAAATGACAGCAAAAAACCCAGCATAGTTCTGCATTCTTTCTCCAATAGCAGATGTACGAATACTTACTTACATAATGCAATTGTTAATATCAAAATATGGATGGAAATCCAGCAAAAGGTTTGAAAACATAACCTTTTCAGCAACAAGTCGATCTCCAACATCGAAAGTGGGATACATAGACAAAGAAGGAATATATCTAGGCTCAGCCACAAAGGACCTAAAGGCAAGCGATATAGCCAATGCTGCAAAAACTGTTTTTGCATCATCTGAACTAAAATCCAGCCATTCTGGGAGAAACCCATTTTGCTTCTCCGCCTTTTCATCATCTCCACCACCACCATCACCATCACCACCTCCGCCACGGCCATGGTCCAAGACAACCTTATTAGTCTCTTCGTTGGAATCTTTAACCCCACTGCATTTAAAGCTCTGAAATTGAGATTTTCTACAGCCTGACTGCTTGAAAGATCGACACTGTGGGGGTTTTAACAAGAATTCTGAAAGGGTGTGGTTGAATTGAAGGGTTTTAGATAAAGGGTTGAAGTTAATAGAGTGGACAGAGTTGAAGTAAGGGTTTTGTGAAGGAAATGGAGGGAGGAGCTTTAGAGTTATCATTGGATGAAGAGTCGAATATTTCTACACAGAGTGAGTTCCCCTCCAATATACGTTGAAACTGAATTGGCAGTTAATAACAATGTGTCCCTGAGGTAATCTTCTATTCTTTACATTTTCCCCAAGCCCCTTTTCTTTTCTTTTCTTTTTAAATTTCTTTTTGGCCTTTTTTCTGTTGAAGGGGTTTTGTTATTGTTCTCACTTTTTTGTTTGACCTATTATCCAACTGTTGTCATAAGAAAAATGAATTTGAATATTGATTTTTGAAAAATACCAAGATATAGACAATAGATGTGGTAATTCATGTTGTTGTAGGATGATACATTCAGTAAGTATAATGGATATTTTTGTGAAAATATATATGGACAGTTTAGATGGTGTTCAATTCGCTTACTTTTTACAAATTACATATAAAAGAAAAAATGAGGACAAATGTAATATACGAAAAGTAAAAGGAAAACAACATGTATACCTACGTTGAATAATCCAGTACAACCAATTATTAAAGCATTCTTTAATTTCGCTCAGATCTAAAGTGAATTCATGAAAGGGAAACAAAAAGGCTGAAAATGCTCTTCTTTATCCTGAATTCTTCGTCATACACTCAATTTGTCATAGCCAAAATAACTTAAAATTCTTGACTTCGTTTGTAAAAGATAGAAGTGACATACGAAATATGTGATGTATACCATATTGTTATAAATTGATATTTGGTAAGCATTTGTTCTCCTGAAAGGAAAACCAACATAGCTTATATTCAAGAGACTAGAGGGGATACTAGGGTTGTTCAAAATCAAACTGTAATCGTTAATCAAACCGAAAAAAGAGCTTATTGGCTTATTGGTATCGACTTATCAGGGTAACAGTTGGTGAACGGATTGAAAATTTATAATTAATGACTTAACGGTTTGATGACGGATTACTCAATTTTCTTATCGGATAAATCCTTAACCTGTTAAGAATTTTTATATTTTACTTTTACCTCTATGTATATAAAGTAATATTTGAAACCCTAAAACCTAAAATCTAATTTATCAAATCTCAATAGCAGCCGATAAGCACCCCCTAACTCTAGATCTACAATCGTCTCTCTCTCTCTTTTCCCTAATTGAGAGTATATGTAAGACTAAGAAACATGTATTCACATTTCATTGTTTATATGTAGATCTATTATCCATCTATATCTATACTATATTAAAAGCACGAAGGTCCTTAGTGAAATGTCGTTCGCCTTTTTTACCCTTTAAAAATTGATTTCATGTTGGACAAAGTTGTAATTTTAATTATTTGCCAGATATTTAGAACCTTAAAATCAAATTAAAAAATTGTTAAATTTTTCCTTATTTGAACTAGGTAGAAATTCCTACTGTTTAGGACTTCAAAGTTCATTATCAAAGCATTATTTTAAAGAAATGACTCTAGATTTCGGTTATATTTCCTTGTTGGAATCAAATTGTATATGTTATCCCTTCGAAAGAACAAGTAAATGAGTCCGAGTCAAGATCTAACATTGTAATTTCTTCAGTCAAAAATGAATATTCCTACAAATCTTCAGTATGTTTACAAATTCTTAAATTGGAAAGAACGCACCAATTACACAATTAGGTCGCCCTCCTTGCCAATTCAACTTCTCTTATTTGCCATCAATTATAATAATTTATATTTATATTTATCTATACTCTATACTATATTAAATGCACGAAAACCATTAGTTAAATGTCGTTTGTCTTTTTTATCCTTTAAAAATAGATTTCATACTAGACAAAATAGTCATTTTAATTTATTTTCTCATATTGAAGAATAATTATTTAATAGAAAATAACCATTCTAACGGTTACAAAATAAAAAATAAACAAATACTAACAAGGAAGCAATATTCTCAAAATTTAGAGTTACGTGTAAATTAAATGTCATTCATTTAAAAAGTAAATAATTTATGGAAAGCAAATTTTACTTGAATTTAAAGTCCTAAATATTAGGACTTTTTATAAAGTTCAAATAAGAAAAGATTTACTACTAATAATAAAGTTATAGGATATTTTATAATTTTAAATATTAGGCAAATAATTAAATGGCTTTTTTGTTTAGTGTGAGCTCTATTTCTAAAGGGTAAAAAAGATATTCAATTTGTTCGCCAGTTTCATTGATCAAAGAATTGATAGCAAGGATTGGTCTCGGTGTGAATACGCATAGAGTCTTCACACTATCGAAGAAATTTTAAAATGAGGCTTTGATTTTACAAAAAAATTATACTTTATTGAAATGGGGTACACGCAAAACGCGCGTACCAAAAAACTAGTAGTATTTATAACCTTGAAAAACAATTATGAATGTTCTGTTTATCAAATTTTAACTTTATGATTTTTCTTTTGATGACTATGAATCTGAACTAGATCCCATCGATAGCTATTTATGATTTCCACAATAAATCTCCTTAATTTTCTCAAACATATTTGCTCAACTAGACAACAATAGCTTCTTTTGAAGTCTAGTTGGTTTAGTCAATATACCGTCCGATAATCGTTAATCTGATACCAATATACCCGATGTCTTATTGGATAGCTAGCGAATTACTATATTTATAAATCAATAATCGATAAGCCAAACTGTTAAGCGTAAATAACCGTTTGATCCTCCTGATAAGCTCCCCTAGTGGGAACTAAGGCTCTGGATGTAGATGGATTTAAGTTGTGGTACTCAGGAAGGGTAAGGAACAAGAACGGGATAGACATGTTGGTCGCAGAGAGCTAGTGGTAGAGTTTAGAAGGCTGAATACAGACTGATAGCTATTAAAATAGTTGTGGGAGGGTCTACTTTAAACATAATTAGTGTTTACGTGCCTCAAGCGGGAATGGACGAAGAGGTTAAAAGACACTTCTGGGAGGATTTAGACGGGTTGGTAAATGGAATTCTGCACATCGAAAAGCTAATCATAGGAGGAAATTTCAATGACCACACCGGGACGACTTCTTAGGATTACGATGGTGTGCGTGGCGGCTTCGATTTTGGCGATAAAAAATTGAGGAGGAACTTCAAAATTCAAGTGTGCTAAAGCTATTGATTTGATGATGGCTAACTTGTGTTTTTTGAAGAACAAGGAGCATTTGGTCACATTTCAAAATACGGTGGCCAACACCCAAATTGATTATGTACTACTCAGGATGTATGATAGAGATCTTTGCACGGATTGTACGGTTATCCCGAGTGAGGATCTATCAACTTAACATACACTATTGGTTATGGACTTAGAGATCACGAGGAAAAGGAAGAAGAGGGATATGTATGGTCAACCTAGGATCAGGTGGGAGCCTTGACCAAGGATAAAGCTTAACATACAAGAGAAAAGTTATTGGCTATAGGGCCTGGAGGAGTAGTAGAGACGTGAATAGTATGTGGACTGTTATGACCCAATTCCTACCATAAGCCGTGATGGAGCCAAATTCTGTCGTTAGGCAAGCCAACAATTAATCTACACGCTGAAGGATAGTCCATAACATATCCAAAATTGCAACTATAGTGGTATCCTTCTAAGTCATACTATGAAAGTTTGGGAGAGAGTGCTAGAAGTGAAGGTGAGGAGGATTGTGTTTATTTTTGAGAACTAGTTAAGGTTCATACCGGGTCGTTCGACTACGAAAGCTATTCACCTTGTATGGACATTGGTGGAGCAGTATAGAGAGATGAACGACTTGCATAGGGTGTTTATTGTTCTGAATAAATCATACGACAAAGTCTTGAGAGAGATTCTACGGAGATGGTTGGAGGATAGAGACGTGGTTATAGCCTACATTAGGGTAGTTAAGGACATTTATGATGGAGTTAAGCCCTAGGTAAGGTCAGGGAGAGGAGACTCAAGACACTTTTCAGTTGTGATATGGTTGCATCAAAGATCAGATCCATTTTTATTTCCTTGGCAATGAATACACTGACACGACATATTCCAACTTAGGTTCCATAGTGTATGTTATTTGCAGATGACATTATTCTGATTGACGAGACATGAGGTAGTATTAACAAGAGGCTGGAGGTTTGAAGGAAAACCCTAGAGTCTAAAGATTTCAAGTTAATCAAAACCAAGACAAAATACTTAGAGTATAATTTTAGCTACGTGACCCAGGTAGCAGACATGGATGAGGCTTGGTAAACAAGTCATCCCCAAGAGAGGAAGTTCCAAGTACATTGCGTTAGTAATATAAGAAAAAAATTGATTAGGATGTTGCACATCGTATCAGAGCAGGATGTATAAAATGGAGGCCTGCATCCGGTGTCGTGTGTGATAAGAATATACTACTAAAACTTAAAGATAAGTTCTACAAAGTTGTGGTTATACCGACAAGGTTATATGGGGCAAAATGTTGGCTAGTTAAGAACTCTCATGTGCTGAAATGAGGATGTTGAGATGGATGTATGGGCATACTAGGTTAGATAAGACTAGAAATAAAAAAAATTCGGAGAAGGTAGGAGTGGACCCTGTGGAGGTCAAGATGCGGGAGGTGAAGCTGCGATGATTCGGGCATTTAAAGAGGAGAAGCACAAATGATCTAGTCAGGAGGTATGGGAGAGTGGCCTTGATGGGTATGAAAAGAGGTAGAGGTAGGCCAAAGAAGTATTCGGGAGAGGTGATTAGGCAGGACATGGAACATCTTAAGCTTTCCTAGAATATGACCCTTAATAGGAGAGTGTGGAGGTTGAGAATTAAGGTAGATTTTAGAAGGTAGTCGAGCATTTTACTTTTTCTTTTCCGTACCGGTAGTTTTATTGTTAGTATTGTATCTTTTTACTCTTAGATTGCATTAATACCTACTGTTGATTTTCATCTATCACTTCGCTTTTTTATAATATTTTTTTTATTATTGTTACTGCTTGTTGTCACTGCTTCTTTTTTTTAGCCGAAGGTGTATTAGCAATAACCTCTCTGCCCTCCAGAGGTAGGGGTAAAGTCTGCTTACACACTATTCTCCCCAAACCCTACTTGTGAAAATTTATTAGATTTTTTGTTATTATTGTATTTGGTAATTATTTGGACCAAAGAAAAAGATATATAGTAAGCATAAGCAGAAAGACATTCTGCAATAGCACATTATTATTCC